GAAAATGACTTGGTCCTAAATTCAATTAGGATGTCATAAATTAATTTAGGACGTTCAAAATCAGAAAATGACTTGGTTCTAAATTCAATTAGGATGTCATTAATTAATTTAGGATGTTCAAAATCAGAAAATGACTTGGTCCTAAATTCAATTAGGATGTCATAAATTAATTTAAGACATTTTCACGGTTTCAAAATCAAAAAAAAACTTATTTTCACGTTTTCAAAAATCAAAAAAGATCTATTTTCACGATTTCAAAAATCAAAAAAAACTTTATTTAAAAAAATAAAAAAAACAATTTTTATCAAACAAATTTAATCGTAAAAAACTTTGATTTTTTTGAAATTAATTTTATCAAAAGAACCACTGTAAATTAATCTCATTCTTCTTTTTTTATTGAATTTTGTTTCTTTAGTTATCACTTTCTTGTTACAAATTTTCTTCCATTCATTAGAATGTTTTGTGATAAAATGTCTTTTAATTGTATTTGGAGAAGGATTTTTGTATTTTCTTTTACAGATTGAACATTCAATTTTGTTATCAGAAATAGAATTAAAATATTCCCAGATCTTATGAGAATTAATTTTTTTCATTTTGAAATTTTTAATTTGAATAGTTTCGTTGAACATTTCTTTAATATTATTATTTATATAATATAATTATGATTTATTTCATTAGGAAATTTTTAAGAGAATATTTGTAATCGATTATCAGTTTCTATTTTAAGATTGTTTTGATGAATCCTCAAGAAGAAATTCTCATAATCGATTATCAGTTTATATTTTAAGATTGTTTTGATGAATCCTAAAGAGGAAATCCTCATAAGGATATTTGTGATCGTTTATCAGTTTCTATTTTAAAATTATTTTGATAAATCCTCAAGAGGAAATTCTCATGTGGATATTGTGATTGATTATCAATTTCTATTTGGGGATTGTTTGATAAATCCTCAAGAGGAAATCCTCATGAGGATATTTGTGATCGATCATCACTTTCTATTTTAAGATTGTTTTGATAAATCCTCAAGAAGAACATTAAATATAACAAATAACACGTAATATTTTTAATATTTAATTTTTAATAAATATTAAGAGAAATATTATAGGTTCTTTAAATTTGCAAGATG